TATTTTTGTAATATAGGTGAATAACTATGCCACAGCATGCATAAATTGCACATTTTGTTTGACTTTCTTTATAAAATACTTAATTTGAAAAATATAATTTATGCCAAAAAAAGTATATCTTACAATTTTGCCACTTAACTAGGTTGATTTAGCACAAAATGCAAAGTCTTGGGGAGGAGAAGGGAAGTGAAAATTATAGATGATTGTTGAAAAATGTTTCATTACTGTTCTCTCAGAAACCCTAAAGATGCATTATAAAACAAATGATGTTTTGAAAAGTGGTAAGGGATTGTGAAAAAAAATTTCAGACTTAATGCTTTCTAACCACATGATTTTCTTTTTCTTTYTTTTTTTTTTTATTTAGTAATACGCTGCTACATATTTGGAGGTTCTGGTGTTTGTAGGTCACTGAACAGACATTGAAATCTGATTTATATTGTATAACTGTAACATAGAAAGAAAAGTATTTATATATTTTCCGTAAGAATATTTCATTGAGTTGTGTATAATTTAAATAAGATTTGTCACCAAATGGTTTTGCTCACCTTGATTTTTTTTTGTTGTTGTGGTTTTCTTGTTTTTGTATAATGTGTACAGTTTATGTCAAGGGCATTACAAGCCACCTGAAGCATAATCTTATCAAAGGGATACATTGTTAATAAAATGTACTTAAAATTCTTAAACTTGAGGTTGTATTGTTTTATTTGAAAATTTAAAACAATCTGTGGTCATACAACTTTGATTTAAACATGGAATTCCCAGTAAAAGTGACTTTTCTGTACCACAGGCAGGAGGCTGGTAGAGTGTAACAGGTAACAGGTAGAGTGTCTCTTCCAAACAATTAAAAATAACTGTTTACATTTTTTAAAACTTCCTTCATAATTTAAACAAGCACCTTTGCAATTTTTTATGTTTTAAGTAAATATAAAGGGTTGGGAAACAAATATTTTTAGAAACTGCTCTGAATTTTTTGAGGAAGTTATATATATTGACTTATGTATGAAAACCTCTCATACATTAACTGGAATCATCAAATAGCCTAACTTCTTATTCTGGAGAACAAAAATTCAGTGTCAAAGTTAAGGTCTATTATAGTTGTTAAAATATGGAAAAATACAGTGGAATGAATCTGGCATAACTTTCCTATGTACATATATTAATACACCACAGTGAAGCTCACCATCATGGACATCCACAAGACTGGGGTCCTAATTAGAATAAGTATATGCCATGCTGTTATATTAAAATGGATTCTACTGTCATGTATAACTAGAAAGAACCAATAAAATATAAATATAAATGTGTATATATACATATTTTTAAGTTTTATTGTATATATATTTATTTTGTGTGTGTGTGTATGTGTGTGTGTATATATATATATATTAAAACATATCTTTAAGAAACAGATTCCAGGTAGTTTGGCTTTTAAGCAGGTTTCTGCATATTATTTTCCCTTTGCCCTCCACTGAGTATCATAAATGTAATTGGTCCCAAAACACACTTTTAAAAGAATAATCTATGTTGTCATCATTCTGCTGATCTTTAGGAATAGTCACAGTACAGTTGAACATTTTAAATGTTGGTTCATGAGACTGGGAATGTAGTACAGTAGTAGAGCACATGCTTAGCATGTACAAAGTTCTGGCTTCAATTCCGAATGCTAAAAAGGAAAAAAGTTTTATTTAAAAAATAGTTGTATATAAAAGTAAAATACTACTTCAGTATTGGTAAAAAAAAAAAAAAAATTCTTTCAAAAGTTTGTTTCTTAAAATGCTTATCTTAAAAGAATTGAGCCAACAACCTGTGCTTAGACTTTCAAATTGAATATAAGGTTTTTTTTTTTTGTAAGTTCAACTTTTTTTGTAACAGTTCAACTGCTAATTCTGAAGATTTTGTCTTCTACTTCTTACATATTTTAAAAGTTCTACTTCATATGTGATGTTATTAACATGTTTTCTAAATTACTTGAGATGAAGCCAATGTATCTTTCAACAGAGCCCTTAGAAGCAATGTTGCCTAATCTAATTCAACTTGATTTCTTAAATACATTCTACAGTATAATCAGATTGACTGTGATTAATATAAGCATTTTCACCACGTGTGTGACTATTGTGTGAACAGGTCCTTGCTCCCAGTCAGGTACATTGTGTTTCCCTGCACACAACTGATTTTTGCTGTCCAGGCTGATGCAGCATTTATAGGTCATGAATGCCAGTCTAGCCTACAACCAAAATATCCTTATACTTTCAGTGAATTACTACTCATTTGGTTATAGTTGCAAATTTATAAAAAGGTTTTATGGCTATGTTAGGAAAAGGAGAGCTGTATTTAGAGAAACTCAAACATTTATGGATGAAACAGTAAGAAGGATTTGCAGTTTTCCCAGCACCATTTGTTAAAAAGGCTATCTTTTCTCCAGTATGTGTTTTGGGTGCCTTTGACTAGTATGAGATAACTGTATTTATGTCGGTTTGTCTCTTTGTCTTTTATTCTGTACCATTGTTCTGCATGTGTGAACAGACCTTAAACTATACTACAGAGCCATAGTAAAAGGTCTGGTATTGTGATGCCTCCTGCTTCACTCTTTTTGCTTAGGATTGCTTTGGCTATTCTGGGTCTCTTATTTTTCCAAATGAATTTCATGATTGCTTTTTCTACTTCTATAAATATGACTTTGGGATTTTAATAGGAATTGCATTGAATCTGTTTAGCACTTTTGGTAGTATGTCCATTTTAACAATATTAATTCTGCCTATCCAAGAGCATGGGAGATCTTTCCATCTTCTTCAGTTTCTTTCTTTAGTGTTTTGTAGTTTTCCTTGTAGATGTCTCTCATCTTTTTTGTTAAATTGATTCCCAAGGTTTTTGGGTTTTTTTTGAGGCTATTGTGAATGGGGTAGTTTTCCTAATTTCTCTTTCAGAGGATTCCTCAATGATATTTGCATTTGATTTATGGGTATTGATTTTATATCCTGCTACTTTGCTGAATTCATTTATTAAATCTAGAAGTTTTCTAATGGAATTTTTCAGATCCTCTAAGTATAGAGTCATGTCATCAGCAAATAGTGATAATTTGAGTTATTTTCCTATTCCTTTTCTATTTTTCCTTTAATTTCTTTGTCTGTCTAATTGCTCTGGCTAGAGTTTTAAGGTCAATGTTAAATAAAAGTGGTGAACGAGGGCATCCCTATCTTGTTCCAGTTTTTAGAGGGAATGTTTTCAAATTTTCTCCATGTAAAATGATATTGACCTTAGGTTTAGAGGAAATTAAGCCCCTGTCTCTCTCCATGCACAAAACTCAACTCAAAGTGGATGAAGGGCCTAGGAATTAGACCAGAGACCCTTCACCTAATAGAAGAAAAAGCAGGCACAAATCTTCATAATGTTGGATTAGGCCCCGACTTGCTTAACAGACTCCTAAAGCACAAGAAGTAAAATTAAGAATCAATAAATGGGATAAATTCAAACTAAAAAGCCTCTCAGAAAAAGAAACAATCAGTGAGGTGAAGAGAAAACCTACAGTATGGGAGCAAATTTTGAGCACTAATCTCCAGAATATATAAAGAACTCAAAAAACTTAACACCAAAAAAAAAAAAACAAAAAAAAAACCACCCCATCAATAAATGGACTAAGGAACTGAACAGATACTTCTCAGAAGAAGGTATATAGTCAATCAACAAATATATGAAAAGATGTTCAACATCTCTAGTAATTTGAGAAATGTAAATCAAAACTACTCTTAAGATTTCATCTCACTCCAGTCAGAGCGACAGTTACCAAGAATACAGGAACCATAAGTGTTAGTGAGGATGTGGGAAAAAGGCACACTTATACATTGCTGGTGAGACTGCAAATTGGTGTATCCAATCTGGAAAGTAGTATGCAGATTCCTTAAAAAACTTGGAGTGGAACCACCATTTGACCCAGCTATCCCATCTATGCCCAAAGGACTTAAAAACAGCAGTGACACAGCCACATCAATGTTTATAGCAACACAATTCACAATAGCCAAACTGGAAGCAACCTAGATGCCCTTCAATAGACTAATTAATAAAAAAAACTATGGTGTATACACACAATGGAATATTACTCAGCAATAAATAAGATCATGGCATTTGCAGGTAAATGGGTGGAGTTGAAGAATATCATGCTAAGTGAATTTAGCCAATCCCAAAAAACCAAAGGGCAAATGTTTTCTCTGATAATTGAATGCTAATCCACAATGTACGGGGAGGGCATGGGATGAGTGGAGGAACTTTGGATTGGCCAAAATTGTGCTCCATTTGTGTATAATGAATTGAAGAGTATTCTGCTGTCATATATAACTGATGAGAACAAATACATTAATTTTAAAAAATAATGTAAGAAGGTAAAGTGGGGTGTGGATGAGGCTAGAACAGCCATGGACAGTACCTACTGGAGCTAATGATGCTTTATAAGGTTCATTATTCTATCCTTGTTTATATTTTAAATTCTCTATTGTGTTTATTTAATCCTGATACTTCTACTGACACATGAAATATAAACTTCAAAGTTTCTGAATAGTACTTCTTAAGCCAATGCTAAGATGGCACATAGTATTGAAAACTAAGCTTTTAGAAACCAATGTATTTGGTTGTTATGAACATTGAAAAGAAATGTTTACAGATGTAACTATAAGTCATAGTGGTATTATAATCAAAGTTATGTTTCTAGGCATTTCCTATTGGTGTTGCTATACTTCAGAAAGACTTCATTCAGCGTAGGCCTGTGATTGTCAAAGTTTAGTGTGAGTCTGAATGTCTGGGAAATGATGAGAAATATGGACTCCAGGTCTCTTGCTGAAGAGACTGATTAGGAGGTTTGAAGTGGTAATCAGAAATATACGCTTTTAGTAAGTTCATGAGGTGGCTTATTGACTATACTAATCTGCAGACTTTTATTTCATGGATATAAACACAAAAAATGATGAAATGTTTTAATTAAAGCTTTTTGCAACAGCAAAAGCAACTTCAAGGTTTATGGATTGTGTTTTAAACAATGTAAATAAAATGTAACATTTACAAATCAACCAGTGTTGACAAATCTGTATACAAGATTCAAATGAAAAGCATAATTAACAAAGGAGCATAAATAGAGTAAGTGATGACAATACTRGCCCCAAATTCTTCTCACAACTGTTAGACTCATCAAAATACTGATTTGTTCTGTTAGGACATAACCAAATTTTCCAGCAAAAGTCTTTGTTATATGTAAGGAAAAGGTTGGAAAGCTTGAACACAAGAGAACTGGCTGGTATAGGTTTGTGTTTGTGTGTATTTATTTATTTATTTTTATTTTTTTATGGTGCTAAGAATTGAACTCAGTGCCTCACATGCTAGGCAAGCACTCTGCCACTGAGCTACAGACCCAGCACTGGTATAGGTATATTTTAAAGCCACATGAGATGTGGATATTTCCTATAGTGTTGACATTCAGTGGCAGAGTCATGTGCATTGGCAGTCATTTCCACCTGACAGCAGTACTAAATACAATACTAAAGCAACCCCTCTTTATGCTTGTTTAGAAATATGACAAATGGGGCTGGTTGGCCGGCAGGGGAAAGAGAAGAACTACCAGGTATTGAACCCCTGTTAGGTACGAGGTGCTTTGCATATACATTTATCCTGAGGTGTTCTTGGTGGGATAGGTTCCAGGATCCCTGGGGATGACAAATAGTGGATGACAAGTTCCTTATATAAAATGGTTATAGTATTTGCATATAATTTGTACGTATCCTCCCACAGACTTTGTCATCTCTAATGCCTAATTTGATGTAAATGCAAGGTAAATAATTGTTAAACTATATTGTTTAAGGAATAGTGACAAGAAAAATGTCTAATATGTTCAGAATAGATGCAATTTTTTTCTGACTATTTTCTACCCATGGTTGTTTGAAGAACCCAGAGATATGGAGGGCAAACTGTATTGGTTCAAAGGTGAAAAAGTTGCTCTGATGCCAACCCAGATTTCCTCCTTGTAGAACTTTTTGCAGTTATGTTTCTCATAGCCAACATTGAAGTTCCTTTTCATTTAATATTTTAGCATAATAGGAATTAAAATGAGACAGAATTCTCTTGACCCAGAGAACCTATCATAAAGCCCAAAAGATGCTAAGTAGAAACAGGTCATTTACAAATAGTTGGGGGGAAAAAATGAAGAAGAAAAGGAGGAGCCATAATGTGAGTGAAATTACTCAATGATATTTTTATATTTTGAGGTAGTTAAAAATTAAGGAAGAAGACTGACGTCTAGTGAACAGGAATACTATTTCCTTGTCAGAGGTTCTTTACTAATCCTATTCCTTCACTGTATTAAGTAAACTTGACAGAGGAAGAGTTGTAAAGATCTTCAAACATCTTACCTATTAAGTTAGGTCTATGTCCCCAAAAGAGTTAATTTCACTGGGTCAATGAACTAAATTCTTACAATTTCAAGTCAAATCTAAAAGGTGATTTGATCTCAAACTTCTCTAAAGTCTTTTATTAAACACAGCAACTTAACATTCCCAATTTATGCTGTAGTGCTAAACCTTTTGTGGTCTTTATCAAAGCCTTCAATCTATTTGCTTTACCCTTAAGATATTAAACATGGAGGTAAACACTAATGAAATGTTTTCTCACTAAACACTGAACTTCTAGGCCCATAGCCACCCTGTAAAATATTGGTGGGGGGCAGGGGGTTGTGGAGTGAGTGGTTAACGCCTATCCCTATGTCAAGTTCAGGTCTACTGTGAGAGAGGTGAGCCTGGAAGAAAAAGCAACAAGGTCAGCATGTCCCTATGATTCTGCCATCTCTAGACTATGCCTGAAAGGAGTAAAAACGTTAAAAAAAAAAAAAAAAAAAAAGTAAGCCTGCTAAGTTAAAGAGCTTCTGGCCTTTAGCCATACTGTAGTGGTCTTATGAAAATAAGCCTGTAAATAATGACAGTTCATTGGGACCAAGGGCCAGGACAGATGATTACGGAATGGTTCCAGCTCTGCTCCCTATAGCATTTCTGTAGTGTATGGATGGGGTCTGGGCTGGTTAATGGTAGTGTTCACCTTGACCTCAAAGGGTTGTTGAGGAGTGGCTGCTATTCTCATTAAGGGAGGGGAGGCAAGGCATGGAGGGCACTGCCATTTGCATTTTATACTCTGAACAGTGTGCTGGCACTGGTGGAATTGTTGGAAGACTGTCCTTGTCTCCAGTCATGGGTGAAGCCAATTGGGACACATAATTCAAACTGGTTTCTTCAGCTGGTATTTCTCCCAGGGAGTTCATGTAGTTTTTTTCTAGTGTCTTTAGTAAATTATCAGGTGAGGTCAATAATCCCAGCTGACATGGCGAGTCTTCAGGAGGTACTGGGACATGGCCACAGGAACCAGAGTCAGAAGCTGACTGATTATAGGTTAAGTTCTCAAAACAGATGCAAGGGCCAGGGTGAGAGGGCTTCTTTTCTTCTTGTTTGAGATAAAGGTAGACAGGCTCAATTAATGGACTTTCTCTGACTGGCTTCCTAGTCTCCAGGAGTTGTGTCTTGGTCCCTTCTGGTTTATTTATAACTTCTATAGCATCTGGAATGCAGTCTTTGACATTCATTATTGTTAAGTGAGGGTTCTCCTAGAAAGGAAGCAAAATATATGTAAATATAAATGTGTGTCAGGGGATGTGTACCAAAGTATATTAAGCATGTGAAATGCACTTTGAGCTTCAATTTTGTTACGTCTCTTGCTGGTCACAAATTAACCTGGAGGTGGTATTGAAAAACCCAAGGATTTCCCCCAACAGAAGAAATCAAAGCTCTAATTGCTTCTATCTTTCTTCTTCTTTCCCTTTCTCAATAATTATTCCTAAGTCCCTACTCTCTCCTAATGCTGGGATGGAACCAGAGGTTGCACATATTCTAGGCAAGTGCTCTAACATTGAGCTCCACTCCCAACCTCTTCAATCACCTATTTAATGGCGGTGGGAGCAGAGGTGCCTCTAATTTGTCATATTTTCCTGAAGAGGTCTAGGAAAGTGTAATTGTTATGGCCCCAATCCACAACAAGTTCTTACCTTGGATTTTATTAATGACAGGATGCTGCTCTTGTAAGGGTCTGGGATATCAGGATAACACTTCTCCTTCACCCTAGAAAAATAGTGATAATGAGATGGAATTTCACGATTTAGTAGAATCATTAAGATCGAGAACTCTGAAGTCAGATTCCTAGGTTCTGATCCTTGTCCTGTCCCTTATTAAGCAAATTGCTTAGCTCCTCCTGGTTGGGTAAGTGGAGGTAATAGCAGTGCTCACAGGGCTGTTGTGAGGATGAAGTGGGTTATCTATATAAAGCACTTGGAACACCACCAAGCACATAGGGATAAATATGGCTATTGATAAAAACATTTGCAATCTCTTAATTTTAAGTGGTCATTATTTTCCTCATGTATTGGCTTGGAAAGCAAAACTCTTCAAAAATTACATATTCTCACATACACCTCCTTCATCCTTTCCCTTTTCAGAACTGTTTTTTTTTTTTTTTTTTTTTTTTTGGTGGGAAGGTACTGAGGATTGAACTCAGGGGCACTTGTCTACTGAGCTACATCCCCAACTCTAATTTTTTTGTATTTTATTTAGAGATGGGGCCTCACTGAGTTGCTTAGCACCTTGCTTCTGCCAAGGATGGCTTTGAACTTGCGATCCTCCTGTCTCAGCCTCCAGATCTGCTGGGATTACAAGCGTGTGCTACCACGCCTGGTTCCTTTTCAGAACTTTTGCTCATATTATTCCCTGCTATTTCCATCTTACTAAACTCCTAAGGCTTTCTCTCACTTTCCTAGATAAAACTTCCTCACACACTTACCACTCACTTTTCCAGTAGCATGCTACTATGATGATCGAGACAAAGAGAATCATGGGCAGTATGAKGCGGATCAGCTTATGGTCTGGAGAAGGAAAAAAGACATTTGTAATGGGTACTTCTACCTCCTCAAAAGAATAAAAATAAATTTGTGAGCCAGAATAGTTTACACATTTATTATTCCTCAAATGTTCATTTATGCATGTTTCAATGTGAGTTTTACCTGATGGTGGGGGTAACTGACCAATCAACCCACACAGGGAGCCCTTTGCCATCAGCCAACACTTTGTGATGCAGACTCATTACCTCTCTGATAAAGTGGACCATGATTYCCACTTCTTCAGTTGCTCCCAGAGTTAGAATTATACTTTTCCCATTCTTCCCCAAGCTTCCCGGCAGGTGGAGAGTACATTTCTGCCCCTTGACTGGGGACTCAGACATGTGCCTTGACTTGGCCAATGAGATGTTGGTAATTGTGATGTGAGGAAGTAGAAGCTTAAGATGTGCTGACAGAGTGAATCTGCCTGGTCTTCTTGTGCTCCTGAAACCACCCCAGGCAGCTGCTGCCCATTCAGCCTGAGCCTGAGTTGACCTACTGTGAAACAAACTTGAACCCAACTGAAGCTGCAGTCCAGCTTGGCCCAGCCTAGATCAGCCAGGCCACAACTGATCTGTAACCCATGAGCAGAACAGAAATAGTTGTGGTATTGCCACTGAGACCTGTTCCATACAGTTCCAAAACTGATGTACGACTCTTCTAGTTAGTCTCAGATAAAATTAGCAGAAAATGTCTTAACCTCGGAGAATCATTCCATTTCCTTTTCTTTTCTTTTTTTTTTTTTTTTTTTTGTACTGGGGATAAGACCCAGGACCTCACACATACTAAGCAAGATCTCTACCACTGAGGTACATCCACAATCCTTTTTTATTGTATTTTGAGACAGGTGCTCACTAAGTTGTCCAGGCTGGCCTTGAACTTGTGATCCTCCTGCCTCAGTCTCCCACGTAGCTGGGATTATAGGCATGGTGCCATAGTGCCTAGCTGTGTGCTTTTTTTTTTAATATCCATCTTCCTGTTCCCATTCTTGGTAAATAATACTCATAATTCAAATAGCTCAAGGAGTTTGGAGTCTAACAGTTATTCCATGTACTTAGGATTCTGTTCAATCCATTCACTTCCTCTGTACTCCCCACTCTATCCCTATACCAGGCTATCCTGGAAAAAGTGGAGCTTGGTTTGAGGGCAGCAGTATTGTGGGTGATGTTGCAGTTGGGAAAGAAGAGCTGGCCTGGGCAGATGCCCAAGACAGAGCAATGAGGCAACACAGGGTTCTGGAGAAAAGGACCCAGAAAGATAACAGGCCTAAGCAAGCACCTCAACACCTGGTCTCAAATTAACCTGGCCCCAGGGTGGGGAGGGGGGATGCTCTCTTCCTGACTCTTTCACTAAGAACACCTTCCTCTCTGGGTCAGCCCTTTAAACTACTATAATTAATTTAAAATCTGGTTAAATTATGAATATAGTTTAGAGCAAACCTTGGACCTAACAATGCTTCCAAATTTTCTACTAGTTTGCTAAATCTTTTAGTGAGGCATAATATAGGTAGAATACCTCTTCCTTAAAATACTTGGCACCAGATTTTTTTTTTTGGTATTTCAAGTGTAATTTTATTTTATTTTTTTGCATTTCTTTATATACTGCATACACATAATGAGATATTTGTGTTTCCTGTGCACCTGATAGCCTGAAGGTAATGTTACACAATATTCTTAGTGCACTTGTACTTTGACTCAAGGTTCCTTCACTGAGCCAAGGCTGTAGGGATGGATGTCATGTCASATAGAACTGCTGATCCTAGAGGGCCATGCCTGGTCACGGGGATACACACAGCTACAGAGAAGCAGGTGGTGGTTCCTGCCAGTTCACTCCTAGACCATCGCATAATCTTCTGTCTCCAAACCCAAGTTCAGAATTCAAATCAGTTTAAGATTTGAGCCAATGATTCACATTATATGAGCACTTTCGTCATGTTGAAGTTCATTTAAAATTCATTTCCAAGTTATTTTCTTCCCACTGCAGCTGTGTGTGCCCTTATCACCTGTCAGCACTCTGGGGTCAGCAGTTCCTTTCAGTTTGGCTTTCAATAAAGAGACCTTGCAAGCATCAAGGAGTTGGTGATTTCTGGCCAAACTTTTGAGCCTGTCTGTTTTACAAGGTCCTTTCCAACAGTGAACTTCCTCTGAGTTCATTGGAAGACATTCTTTTCTCCCCTCCCTCTACCAGTGTCTGTCTTCTCTCCCTACTGGATCATGGGATATCTGGGTTGCCCATAAGGATACATTTTTCTATCAACCAGTTCTTTGCATTCTTCTTTCTTGCTTTCTCCATCCTTCTAGCCAAATGCATCTTGAAGAGACCCAGCTCTTCATCTCACCCTTTCCCAACCAAAAGTACACAAATGTAGAGCTAGTGAACGTGCTCCTGCCTGGCCTCTGGCCCACTGATGTCTAATTGCCCATGGAGGCCTGGCGAAGCAGGAAGCAATCAGTTTGCCACCAGGAAAACAGCCAGAAGGAAGACTGGCATTTCTGCCCAACTACCAATATCTGCCTGCTCTCTGGCTAGCAACACTAAAATACTGTGATTTTCAATGGATTCTGAGACTGATTCAGAGAAGGACCTCAGCGTTGGCTGAGAGGGGAAAGAGGAAGATTCCAAGCAAAAATTGGTCAGAATAACTCCAACTCTTTCCTGATTTTTGGAGTGGGATTCTGTGTAATAATTTGTGTGTGTGGGGGGGGGGGAAGGGGGTGGGTGTGAAACAAAAAAGAAGAAAGAGGGAGAGAAAAAGGGTTGGAAAAGAAAAATCTGAAAATTCCTGATTTAGAAGAAGTCTAAGGTAACATGGCTGTAACTTGCAACTTCCCAGAAACTCCCAAGGAGGGACTTTTGATCTGGAAAACAACTCACAGGGCTCATCTGACGTCGTGACCTTCGTGAAAGTACCATTGGGGCCCTCACCAACTCCTGTGTACGAAGTGACGAAAAACTCATAGGAGGATTCCGGCTGTAGGTTTTCCATAATGAATGTCTTTTTCCTTGGGTCATCAATGTCGAATTTGCAACGTATTAAATCATCTGTGGTTGTCAGAAATTTTTTTTCAAGAAATAAGAATTAATTTTTTTTTATTGAGCAGGGTAGAGATCTCATAACAGAGACGGACATAGGCTCCTGTTGCCTCTGCCCTGTCGACATTCTTAAATCAACCCAAAGTCACACCCTGTGGGAGATCTTTAAGAGAGGGCACAATAAGCAAAACAATCACTAAACAGGCCTCACTGGTGACCCAGGTAGAGCATACAAATCAGACAAGACAGTGAAGCTCGCAAAGACTTAAAAATAAGTTGTAATAATGTTTGACGAAGTTGAAGGAAAAAGGGTGAATAARTTTCCTGAGTGGCAGAATTCCTTAAAGAGCTGAAGACCAGGCCCCCAACCTCTTGTTCAGCCCACTCATTGGTCTAAATACTCCTTTGGATCATTAAATCCTGAGGGAAAGGCACTCAGCCTGGCCACAGGGATGGTAGCCTTTGTAATGCTTTTGAATAATGAGATCTTAAAAGTCTAAGAGAATGAATAAAAATAAGTGTTACCTGAAAGGACCTCCTTTTCAAATCCTGGGTGGCACTGTCTGTTCCTGGCTTTCAGATAGACATGGTACCCTCGTATAAAACCAGGCTGGGACTCGGTGGCATAATCCTTCCAAGTCATWGCAAAGGAGCGGGAGGTCAAGTTAGTAATGTTCACTTGAGGGTTATCCAAAGGAGCTAGGAAGGGAAGTTGGAGTATGAAAGGAGTCATGATTTGGAAATAGTCTCAGAATAAAGAAACTACGGCCAGGGGCGGCTGTAAAAACTTATACAGTTCTACCTGTTATCCTAGAGGATTTATGCATGGGGATATCACTTTGTGAGGGATGAGGAGTTGAGCAAAATTCTTGTTTAAGCTTTGCCTTTCAGAGATGGAGAAATAAATACCCAGAAAGACTAAGAGAGAAGACAGACTAAGTAACTTGCACAAGAAGAACAAAACAAACAAACAAAAAAAGATGAAATCTCTTTCTTAGACTTGATTCTGTCCTTGAATTCTAAGTAGTGTTTGAGAGAAGACCCAACCAGAGAACTGACTGAAGGGAAGAGGAGGGGGAGGAAGAGTCAGGGTTATGCTCAAAGAGAGAGCGGGAATCTGCAGAACTCTGGCTCCCAGCTTGAGGCAATGAAAAACTACCCAAGTGTCACAGGGAAAACAAACAAACAAAAAAAAAACCTGGGCTCATTTATTCTAAAGCCTTCGTGGGTCTGCTTCTACACACACTTAGCCACACATGTGGTCACACAGGCAGAGGGCACACCTGCTGCCTCAGAGCCAGCTGTGATCTATGGATCATCTACCCCCAGTGAAGGAGCCTGAGACTCTGTCTGATGCTCATGAGGACCACCTGTGCAGCTTTCAGGCAGCCTGAGACCTTGGATCCAGAGGAGGTGAATAAGCACTCTCAGGGGACAGCAACTTCCTGCTTTGCTGGGGGACAGTGGTGGAAGTTCATAGGGGTGATTTCACAAAATGTCTGAAAAGTCTTAAAAACTATAAAAAAGATGAAAAAAATATTTGAGAAGTTCAAACCCTTAGATGTAAGTATTTCACCTCTGGGGCTTCACATAAGAACCATTATCTTGGATATGGGCAAATGAGGTTTGCCAAAATCATGTTAATTCAGAAAGGGCACAAGAGACTGTGCCAMGGAAGAAAGAGAGTTAAGACTTGGCACGTGGACTATAAGATACTGAAATTGAATTTTTACWGTTTATTGTGAAAATTACTGTAGTCATTCTAAATTGTCATATATATGGTGGGGCACATTCCAGTCATGAAAATGATGTGGTTCAATAATGTTGAGTGACATGACTCAAAAAAGTAATTTACAGCTGGGTGCAGTAGTGCATACCTGTAATCCCAGCAGCCCGGGAGGTTGAGGCAGGAGAATCGMGAGTTCAAAGCCAGCCTCAATAAAAGCGAGGCAYTAAGTAACTCAGTGAGACTCTGTCTCTAAATAAGAATTCAAAATAGGGCTGGGGATATGGCTCAGTGTATGAGTGCCCCTGAGTTCAATCTCTGGTACCTCACCCCCAATAAAGTAATTTACAAATTGTGCAGATTAAGATCTCATTTGTATTTAAAAGTGTCTATCTGTAGAAAGAAAGGGGTACCAGGATGTACATAAAATACTCACTCTAGCTTTATGCCTCTGGGTGTTAAAATCACCAATGATTTCATCTTATTTTGTAAAATAATTTGTAAATCACCTTTAATGAAAATGTCTTACATTTCTTTGATTAAAAAATAATTTTAAAAATCCAATTTCCAGAACAAATAGAACCATGATAATTAAGGAGATAAAAACTTCCTAAATCCAAAGCTAAGAATCTATGTATGGTTCTGAACCAATCTTTACAGAAGGCATATTAAATCCTTTAAACTTACCCAGTTCCTGGAAGTATCCTGTTTTATTCTCTAGTAAATATGCAATATTTTTCGTAGAAATTCCATGAATTCTGAAGTTATATCGTACCCCAGGTCTAAAAGTATCTAGAGAAGAAAAGCCAATAACTTTCAATAACACAGAATGACAATCTCTTTTACTCTGAAAAGGAAAAGGATAAAAAATGAATTTGTGTTCTCCTAATAGTTTTCTTCTCAGGAGTTCTGCATTTTTCTCYACCATCTTCCCTCCTTCTGTTGAGTCTTGGAGTCCCCTGCGTGTCCAACCCTTGACCCCATGGTGTTGTCTCTCACAAAGCCTGCAGGGATTGACATGGACTGTGTCCTCTTGAGTAACAACTCTCAAACATGTCCTTATCCATCTGCATAAAACTGGGTGATGATCAAGCCAGACACATAAAGCCAGTTCAAACTCTCCTCCCACTTTGAATCTCCTTGTAGTTATTGCCTTCATTCTTCCCATGAAAGCCCAATGCCTAGAAAGCTTGCTTCCACTTCTTTCTTTCTCCTCACACCTGCACCGCTGCAGTCTGCTTCCAGACCCGCTACAGCACTGAAACTGGCAGGGAACCCAGACAACTTCCACATTGTCCCTTAGCCTACTAGATGGTGCACCCACCCTCCTGCTGAAGCCATAAATGGGCTCCTCCTTTGACTTTGATAAAGTAGCAATTGTCAAGTTATAAATCCAATGTGGAGATGAGAGTTCCACCTCCACACATTTACTTATATTGAAAGTTGATAATTGACTCCAAATCAACTCTGTCTTCATCATCTCCCCAATCCACATACTTCTCTGCTTTTGTAAATGCTGTCCGGACAACTGTCATTCTGTCCCTCTTCCACTCATTTGAGAGGGCTAATGTAGAGGAACAAGGTCATCAAATCKAAAATTGATCCAAACCTTAGCTCTCCACACTTTGCAAAAACAGGTTAAAAGCTCAAAGCTTAGATTATACTCTTGTAAAATCTGAACTCCTAGCACCCATGCTGGATTTGTGATTTCAAAACTATTAGCCTAGCAGAGTCAAAGCATCTGTGTGGTAGACCAGAAATCCTGGTGCGCTCAATGTGAGGTGGATACACAGGATGGTAATGTGGAAGCTCTCCTCACCTGAGCTGATGAGTGTACTTGTGGTATTAGGACCCAGTTTCTTCCACTGCAAATTACAAAACAGGTCCTGACGATGCTCACACCAGTCCACAACATAGCCTACGACATCTCCAGAGAGGGGTTTCCAAGACATGAAGAATCCATCCTCTCTGCTGTTAATTTTTTCTTCTTCAATCTCTTCTGTTCCTATGTAGAAACACAGCGGTGCTTTTGATTTAATTAATTATAGTGTTTAAAAAGTTAGTAAASAAGAAAATAAATATGCATGTGAAATGTATCTGCTATAATTTGGATCCAAAATATCCCCCAAAGGGCTGTGTTCTGAAGCTTTGGTCCCCAGAGCATGCTGCTCTTGAGAGCTGATGAACCTTTAAAAGGTGGGTCACAGCTGGAAGAAGTTAAGTCATTAGGAGGGTGCACCCTTGAAGGAGCTGTTAGGACCCTGGCCCTTTCCTCTCTCCTTTCTCTCTCCCTCCTTCCTGGCCACCATGAGGGATCAACTTTGCTCCACCACACACTGTCCACCATGGTATGCTGCCTCACTGTAGCCCCGAAACAATGGGCCAAGTGACCACAAAGTAAAATCTCTGTGAGCCAATATAAAACTTCCCTCCTTATAAGTTGCTTATCTCATATATTTTGTCACAGTAGCAGAAMACTGATTAACACAATAAATGACAGGTAGGAGCCTAGGTCTTTAATGTCCACAGGGGCTTGAGYGGGGCTTCTCACTTCCCAGAAAATACATCTGTATCTCACATACACTTGACCCCCTCAGATCCAACCAGCCTTTGGCACCTAGAACAGGGGTTGGCAAACTATTGCCAAGAGGATGATTCTGGCTTCTGAGGCCAATTTTTACCATGACCCTTGCGATAAGAAGGGTTCAGTTAAAGACAAATAAACCAACAAAGAAGAGTATAAAATATATGACAGACACTGTATGACCTTCAAAGTCTAAAATACTTATTATCTTCTCCTTTAGCCACAAAAAGTTGCTGAGAGCTGAGGATGTAGCTTAGTGGTAGAACGATTGTCAACACGAGCTAGGCCCTGTGTTCCATTCCWGTATTAATTAAAAATGGTTGCTGATCCTTGACCTACACCCAGAGCTGGTACTCAATCTGTTTTCAAAAACTACCTGTTGAATGAATAACCAATGCAGCTTTATCCCTGCCCCCAGATCCCCCCACCCACCGAAGAAAAAAATGTTAGCTATCCTTGTACAAACTGCTGCTTCTGAGCTGTTAATGGAAGAAATGGAGAAAAGGACAAAAAATAAAAAAATAAAAAAGAAAGAAAAGAAAGAAAAAAGAAAAAACCCTCAGGTAGGTAAGGTACTGACTTGGGCCAAGCCAGGATCAACATTCCATTTCTGACAAAGGCTGCCATCTCCACATACTTTATACATCCAGTCAGTTTTCCCAACATCTGATAATTGGAGAAAAAGTAATGTGGCCTCAAGGAACTACCAATTCTATAGATTTCAAGCAGGCCACACTTTGACCTTGAGGCATAAGGTTTCACCTATTTCCACTGACTTCCTCTAAAATCGAATTTGTCTATGTACAATTCAAATCTCACTAGGCTTGCTGCCTGTCGTCGGGCAGTCCTGGTGTGGAAGCATGGTGCTACTGACTTCTGGGCCACCAAACTGTTAAGTTCACCCAAAGGAATGAATAGGTATAAGGTAAGACCCCCTCCCCCAGGTGGCTTTAAATACCCTACCCATGTGCTTCCTTCCCTTCTCCACCAAAGAAGCAAATCSCTCTCACCCCGAGGCTGACAGTTTTCACTTTGCTTATTCATACTGACTGAAGCTGAATCCAAACTTAGGGCTGTAACTCTTAAGCAAGGTGTTTCTTGAAAATTGCAAATATGTTTTGAGAGGGAGGTAAAGGAAATCTTTTCTTAATCACTCRCACCCTGGTGTGAATTGGATTAACACTGATGGGTTTTCTCATAGCACATGAGTGACTTTACACACTCTAGTGACCTAAGAGCATGGGCCAGTTAAGGAAGGCTAGATGGAGCCTAACATGGAAGGGTCCCAGAGCCTGAAGGCAGGGCATGGGAATGGAAGCTGTGGTAGGAACCCACAGACAGAGAAGACCCCTGAACTGGCTGCACRTGAGACAGTCTTTTATCTACCAGCTCCCACCAGCTGCATCCAATGCCCACTTTTCTCTTCTGGCCTTATTGAGCTCAGAAGGCAACTATTCATCTCCTCTCCATAGCTCTTCACAAAGCAAAGTCACCCTGAACGCTCCTAGACTTTGTCTTCTGGAGCACAATACTAGTTTCTTTTTCTTATCTGACACGTACTGAATAGTTCTTTAAAAGTCAAAAAATGAAACAGCACCACGCTGTAATCCAGTCCACTTAACCCAGATTTACAACAAACTTGAATCTTTGGTACAACACAAACTGCCACACCCTCATAAGCACAGCCTGGAGAGTTTAACAGCAAGAACTGAAGGACRTTATTATTACAAGGCTCATGAATGACCTTAGGATGTCAACTACCCATTGCCTTATACCCCCATGTGCACTGAGCCATGCTGCGTCACCTTTTCTGCAGCTGTCCCAAGAAGGAGATTCATATCCCTATTGACTCTGCATGCAAGGTCATTTCTACCTTGTTTGCTCTTTCACAGGTCGAGGGAGTGGCCACTTATCATGGTTTACTCAATGCAACTGGCAAGGCGCCTTAGGAAAGAAGATGCTAATTCTCCTTATGACCTCTCGAGATGTTCCTGGGCTTTTGGTAGGTGACAAAGACTGACCACATTTTTTTTTATAACACCATAAATGCAACTCATATTTCACAAGTCACAAGGCACAGAAGTGCTGACCCCACTTCTGGGGGAAGACTGTCTGTGGGGTGGTACCTACTTGAACAAATCTGGGATAAGTTCCTGAATGTGCTTCTCTGGCCTTGGCTGAGATCTTGCTAATGTGAGGCTGTGCCCCACTGAGGCATGTGAAGACACTGGCCCCAAAGGAAATGACTCACAGTGCTTGCCACTAGATGTTTTGTCTTTCCAAGTTCATATCTTCTCCATCTATCCAATGATACTTAGTCAAATCACCAATATTTTCCTAGAGAATGAAAATGAAACCAACCAAAAAACAACTCACTTTTTCCAGAGTCTCCAGAGATGACAATCACAGATGCTGGGGAAGTGCCCACACTGTTGTTGGCTGTGATGTGGATTTGGTAAGAGCACAGGTCAAGGGTTAAATTTGCGTCTCTGGTGGATGCAGGAATGGGGTAGAGCTCTGATGTGGATGGTTTGTCTAGATTTTCTACAACCACATTATAGAATAGGATCTTGCCATTGGCATGAAATTTTGAGAGTGGCTGAAAAAAAAATGATGAKTATTTTAAAATGAACTTTATTTTGAAAGGACTTTGTATAATTTTTCTTCATCTCTTCTGGTCCCTCAATAGCCTGACACATATGTGTGCAAGAAAACACACACATACACACATGCATATGCACACACACACCAGCAAATTCCAACAGCTTAATAGAGAAAATATTGTCTTCACCAACTTAGAATCAGATGTTCTAATCTATAACATGAGCAGAGAAGGCAGTCATTTGCATCTGATCCTCAAGAYGTAATATGTCCAGAGAGGAGGTCCTAAGTCAGCAATCAAGAGAAAGGGAGATTCTTTAGCCTGGGTGCGGGAGAGATGTGGGAAAGCAGTGGAGAGGAGAAGACCCATAAATAGAAATAGTAGTACCCTGCAGCCTGTGCAGAGGAGCCTGGGCTCTGGTCCCATCCCTTGTCCAGTTCACAGTCCCCTTACTCAGAGCCTGCATTCATGCTTCTAAAAGATCCTTCAGGTTACAGAGAATCGGCCAACACAGCCCCAGGCCCAGGTCCAGGGTCTGTTCCTTGGGCTCATCCTCCCCAGGACAGACTGGGGTGTGCGCATCCCTAGACCTGAGACAAGAARGTGGCTTTCTGCTTGGGATATGGGCAGCACCTGGATGTAGGACTGGCAGGTCCATGTGTGTGAACACAGAGGTCCTTGCAGAACATGGAAACTAGAGGTGAGAAGAAAGGCAGGCTGGGCCATGGCTGGGGGCTGACCCTCTCAGCATTACCATGCTTTGGTACAAAACACTGTCTCACTCAAAGTTCTGAAAAGAAGGCTGKTCTTCCAGGTGGTCAGGAAGTATGTTAGGCAATAAAACCATGCTATTTTACATAACAGTTTTATAGCCTGTTTATAAATTTTAAACACAAATTATATTAATATTTCAGTATTCGTAATTTAAAAATATGGTGTGTGGTTTTCCACATGTTCCCTTGCCCTGGGCTTTGCTAAGTTAGGGGTTGGCCTGAGTRGAACTTATAGAGAAGAAGGTTCTAGCAATCAGGATTGGCCATCAGTAGCRTGGGCTGCCAGGAAAGTACTAGTGCCAGTGTCAGGAAGTGAAAGAAGAGCGGGATTCCTTGGCTGGGGACACAGTTCCCTAGGACCAGTACTGAGATGGCTCCCTGTTGGGAGGCTGCACCAATTTCACTGTGAAGGACACAGTACAAGCAAATCTGGCTTTTTTRAAGGTGCACATCTTACCTTCCAGAATAAGCTCACAATATGACTTCCTTTCTCTGACTTCACTATTCTCCAGAYATCAGGAGCCTCAGAGGGAGCTGAAATTAACCAAAGGAAAGTTCCCAGGTCATAATGTGTGTGTAGRCCAACTGCTTTCTAAGTCCATAATGAGCACCTGCCCTCCTGAGGCCTGCCTCTCACTTCTTCAGTCCCTGTGACCTCTACCCAATTATCCACAACCACGCTGTTCACTCCTCACTAGGTGCACACAGTAGGGACTTTTAAAAAAGCATCAGCTGGCCTTGAATGTGACACCAAACTAGACCCCTTTTTAAACATCAAGCCTCAAAGCTTTTGGAAACTGCCAAAGAGTTCTGCAATCATTTCTAGATCAATTCTAGGAGGTGGGTTGGGTAAATTTTGCCAGTTTTTGACTTCCCAGGTAGGGATCATGGCCACTTCCTTGTGCCTTTTGCAAAGGCTGCAGTTGAGGAGCACTCACAGAGGCCCCCTAGAGGCAGGAAGCACAGAGCTCTTCTTTGCCCTCCTGATTCCACCTGGCTGAAATGCCTCCTTGTTCCCCTCTGCAGCCCCAGCACCATTCAGCTGCCTAAGGACATGCAGGGCACCTGCCGTCCTGGTCCCTCTATCATGACTTGCCACACTGTTTGGGAATACTTTGATTCCTTGTCTCTCTATCAATAAACTGTGAGTTCCCTGGGGCCAGGGGCCTTAGCTCATTTGACTTTAAGACCCTAGAGCACTTGCCTAGCATGTGTGAGGCACTGGGTTTAATCCTCAGCACCACATAAAAAATAAACAATTTAAATAAAGGCATTGCAAAATTTAAAAATGAAAAAAAAGACCCTAGTCTCAGGATCAGGGCCTGGTACTTAATGATAGTTTTATGTGCACAGTTTGAATGAATAAAAAACAAACTAAGAAGGAACACAGAAAACAGCCTGCTTAATGTCCCAATATTTTTTTTGTCCTCATCCCTCCCTCATCTAATTGGTTGATTGACTAGTTGTTCATTTTGTATTGACTTTATCATTGCTTATTCAACTTAGCATGAGAAGGAATCAGTCTTGTAATCCACACCGACGCTTGATACCTCTGAATAAAGTTATTTGAGGGGAATCTCATTCTTACAGAAAAAGGAAATATTTATAATATTGGACTCCAGCTAATATTTATAATATTGGACTCCAAGCTCAATGCACAATCTTTAGCTGGCTTGTAAATGACTACTCAAAAATCAAAAAGTGCGGTAACATGGTTGATAGCACTATACATTTATATGCAAGACAGTTTCCACTGCAATGTCATTAACTCTGTGTGTAAACACTGTGTTTTTTTTCTTATGCTTGCAATCCACCAAACATTGAGCTTTCCAGGATTAAGCAAAGTGCTATCAGAAGCAAATATCCATAGAGTCACTCTGGATGAATTTAGAGTCACAGATTCATCTCAGTTTATCATTATCAAAAGCAAAGTATTTTCCGGTTTATTATACCATAATCTAAAGACCCTCTCCCCTTTTGTCATTTTCCTTTTGTGCAAAACTATAATTATAATGTTAGAATCAATTTGCAGCAAATAAAAACCCCAAAGCAAAACAGCATCACTGAAGTAAAAATTCCTTAATGAAACACAGCTGAGAAATACACCCCATCCAGTCAGGAACAGGCCTTCCCACAGCAGGAGGATTCACGGAGAGTTTGCCTCCTTGGAAGAATTACTGGAGTCTTGGTGGTCGAGAACCCTGAAGGGGTTGGGAAGGATGCGGAACTCACTAATGGTCATCTCCATCGGTAGATTCTGACCAGCTGCCCTCACTGTGCCCAAATTAGAGCACTGCTCTAAAACGGCTCTTGTAGAATGCAGCAGACATATCTCTGCCAAGCTACTCACAAACAAGAAGACGGGATGAAACACATAGTGTAATCCTTCCCTTGGCTGTAAACAGCCAGGGCTTGAATAGACATGATCACAAAACTGTGATCACAATGCCAAGAGAGGACACAGGAAACCTGGTTCTGGTCAGGGTGGAGCTCTGCAGCCAGGCTGCCCGGGTGTGAGTCACAGCTCAGTCACTTACTGGCTGGGCTAGTGAGATCACGTCACCACTCTGTGCCTCAGTGTCCTTACCCATTAATAGCACTTGCACATGTAGTGGGGATTAAAAGAGAACGACTGTGGGCACACAGAGCAGGGTCTGGCATAGGATAGATGTGAACTGCTGTGTTATTCTTGTGTCTGACATTCACGAATGTTGCAAACTGGGTAAGCCTCTTGAATCCATGGGTGCAAGTTCCCTCATCTGGAAAATGGGCCGAGGTAATACTTTATGATGATAAATTGGAAAGAGCTGGATGCAAGGCCAGGCCATCTCATCTCCTCAGGTCCATTTGAGCTCTGGGACATAGTTATCTGGGGAGAAAGCCTCTGCATGCCACTTARAGCATGCAGAGGCTCCCAGAGCACCACCACTGGAGCAAATGACTTACTAATAAAGATTAAGGTCCCAAATATCAAGAGTACATTTCCAAAAACAAACTGAAGCTGTTCAGTAGGAGAYCAGTGCTCTCTGTGGCATGGATACTTTTACTTGACGCTAGTCCTGATTTAAAGATCTATACTAATTTACGCAGGCCTGGATCCAATGTGCATTCAGCAATAGCAGTGGCTTAGAAACTATTTTAGAAAAATGAAAGATAAGAAAGAAAATGTATACTAGAAATAATACTGATGTCTCATGTTTGAGATCGATGTCTCCCTCTCATTAGGCATTGACCCAATTTTAAAAGATGGTATCCTGTGTTCATACTTGCCTCTTTTACAACTAAAAGCTCTTAGAGAAGCCAGCCCATCTCTGGGGTTTAGTTCCATGGGTTAAATGCCAGGGAGCTGAACATACCAGCTTCAGGGGTGGTGAAGTTTTCAACCGTCCATTCACTCCACTTCCAGAAGTGTTTGGCATTAGCACAGCGTACKCGGGCCACGTACTGTGTGTCAGGCACCAGCTCCCCAAAGAGGTGCTCCCCATTCACCTTCATGTCAACCCTGTGCTGCTTGATCAAAAAAGAGAAGAAAGGAAAAGAGACAAGGCAGAAGTGTTGGTGAGCTCAGATTGCAGAGCCAAACCAGAACACAGTCAATCCTGGTTTGGAGTAAGACCCGCTCTTCTTCAGGGGAAAAAATAGAATCCCTAAAGTTTCCTTCCCTCCAATAAAAATTTACAATTAATGTCAAGTTCCTTTTTAAACAGATGATCCACATCACTGAACTCACAGATGAGTCAGAGTTTGGAGTGATTTTATTCAGCCACCTTCTGTTGAGAACATAGAGAAATATGAAGAACAGGAGGTTAAGCAGGATTCTTACTTGTATCACTTTCCCATTGCCTTCCAGTTCAACCTGACACTGAAGGGTCAAGTAGTTCCCAAGGACGTGCACCTTCCAGCTCATCAGGACGGTTGTGGCGCCTCTGTTTTCAAAGTGGACACTATGGGGAGCCATTGGATGAACTGCCAAAAAATGGAAAAAAATTAAAAATAAACAAAGAAAATAACTTAAGCACAGATCCAAAAGAACTTTGGTAAATTGGCAGTTCATCTTTCCATTTAAAGAGCATTTTTTGTTTAAGAACATGGTCAACAAAACCGGACTCACTGACAAAAATATAGTCTGCCAACTACACAGCTTTTCTCTTTTATTGACTSTATTAGACACTTGAAAAACATAAAAAGAAATAAACTAAGTATTCTTAAAATTAAACATAATCAGGCAGATTGTGGAGGGGAGTTAAAACTTAAAGAAGAAAGCCCATGGAAGAATTTTATAACAGAACTCGGAGTCTAATAAAAACAATATTAACAACGTCAGGAAGATAATCCCAAATAGTCAATGTATAACAATATTCTGGAAAAATGTCACCGATTCYCAAGAGAAAAGATAAGCAAGAGGTGACAACTTCCAGATGACCCATATGAGKAACTGTTAGACAAAGATTTCAAAAGAGCTCCATGAGGTAAATGTGAGAACCTTGGGAAAAAAATGGCAAATATTCAAATGAGCGGTGGGGGCTGGGTGTGGTGGCACACGCCTGTAATCCCAGTGGCTTGGGAGGCTGAGGCAGGAGGGAACTCTAGTTCAAAGCCAGCCTCGGCAACAGCAAGGTGCTAAGTAACTCAGTGAGACCTGTCTCTAAATAAAATACAAAACAGGGCTRGGGCTGGGGCTGGGGCTCAGTGGTTGAGTGCCCTTGAGTTCAATCCCCAGTACCCAAGAAAAGGAAAATGAGAGAGAGGAGAGAGGGAGAGAAGAAGAAGAAAAAGAAGAGGAGGAGGAGGAGAAGCAAGAAGAAGAAGGAAAGGAGAAGGAAAAGGAAGAGGAGGAGGAGGAGGAGGAAGGGGAGAAGGAGGAGGAGGAGGAAAAGGAGGAAGAGGAGAAGGAGGAGGACTGCAGGAGAAGAGGAGGAAGGAAGGAGAAGGAGGAGAAAGAGGACTGAAAAATATAATATCTAAAATAAAAAACAGGATGAAATTCAGTTGTGAAAAAAAGGAAGGAAGCATCTTTGTCCTGTCTATCCCACTGAATGCAGTGGGCATAATTCACACAGTGCTCTCTGAGAAATTTGAAAGGCAAATAGCAGCAAAGATCCTGGAAACCAGAATTGGAAGTACTGCTTGAACTGGCAGGGGGTTCATCTGCTGCTTCCTTTTTTTTTTTTCCATCAGTCCTCATAATATTTGGCCTTAGATGAAGGCACAGAAGAGGAAGTACCAGAGTGGGCTAATTAAAGTCCCAGATTTCTGACTGGAGAATCAAAACAGAGAGTTCCAGGACACCAGAAAGCACAGAGAAATCATGGAAGGGAAGGTGCTGGAGAATGTGATTTCATGAAATTGCTGAGGAACTCCCATGCTTACCTCTGATGGACATGCCTAGATTTAATCTTATGCAGCATACCAAAGAATCTGAGTGTTAACATACCCCTGTCTAGGTCCCAGATGTCACTGGGAGACAGACACATGGGTGGAATAGATTTTTAAGCCACTGCAAAGCCCTTGAAAACTGAACTGACATTGGGCTGGTTAAAAATGCAGCCCAAACCCATCCAGGTCAACTGTTAACTAAAAACTATCAATAATCCCCAGAGGATCTAAACCTCTGGGGTCTTATAATAGTCAAAATGCCCAGTATAAAATCCAAAATAATTCAGTATGCAAAGAACCAAGAAAATTTCAGCTCATAGGAGAAAATACAGCTGACCAATGCTAGTAAAAAGGTGACCCAGGAGTTGGAATTTTCTACTAAACACTTTTTTTGGGGGGTGGGATTTACCAGGGATTGAACTCCGGGCACTCAACCACTGAGCCACATCCTTATTTTGCATCTTATTTAGAGACAAGTCTCACTGAATTGCTYAGGGCCTCGCCATTGCTGAGGCTGGCTTGAAGTCATAATTCTTCTGCCTCAGCCTCTCGAGCCACTGGGGTTCCAGGCATGTGCCAGGAATGTTTAAACACTTTTAAACAATTATAATCTGTTCATCAAGCAATCATGAACATTCTCAAAACAAATAGAAAAACAGAAAGCCTGAGTGAAAATGTAAAAGATAAAAGGGAAATTTTAGACCTGAAAAATAGATTCATAGAAACAAAAAACTCATTTTAGAGGAACAGTAGCCAAAGAGAGAAGACATGGATAAGTCCATGAACCTGAAAGTAGATCAGTAGAAATGACCCAACCAAACAAGTGGAAAGAAAAAGAGTTGTTGAGAAGTAAACCAGGCCTCAGGAGATGTGGGATTATAATAGCAAGTCTCCAATATTAGTCAGAGTACTCAGAGTGGGAGGAGAAAAGAAAAATGCAATGTTGAGTAAATAATGGCTAAAAACTCCCTAAATTTGGTGCAAGACATAAATCTACAGATTCAAGAATCTCAGGATTAAAACCACAAATGGAGTAAAACTAAAGTCTATCCTAAACACATTAGACTCAAGAAAGTTTTGAGGATATATCAACAGAAATTATTCAACTCAAAGGCCAGAAAAAAAGACTGAAAAAACAAAATGAAGGGTCTCAAGGTCCTTAAACAATGAAGTGATTTTTGTGTGCATGTGTGCACATTGGGGATTGAATTCAGGACCCTACACATGCTAAGCATATACTCTACCACTGAGCTACATACCCAGCCCAATTAAAAAAAAAATGTTACAACAATGTCAAAAGTACCAGAAGTACAGAACAAAGAGATAAGTCCAAAGTAATAATTGAATAAATAATGGTGGAAAACTCCCAAAGTTGGTTGGTGAGTTGCATAAAGTTACCTATTCAAGAAGTTTGGAGAATGATATATTCAAGGAAGATTACACCTAGACCAATAATAATTTTATAGAACTAAAATAATTTTCTTGAAAACCAAAGATACAGAAAAAAATTAAGCATCTGGATAAACAACATACATTATGTACAGAATCATTCAAGGGATTTCACATTTTATATGAGAAATCATGAAGGGCAGAAGGTGGTGGAACATCTTTAAATTGCAGAAGAAAAGTCTCAGCCTAGAATTCAATACCCAGAAACAGTCAGCTTCAGGAAAGAAGGCAAATAGACATTATTCAGAGAAGCAAGACCAAGAATGTTTTACTAGCAGAACTGCCCTAAATGGAATGCAGAAATGCTAAATGGAGAGCTTCAGGTTGAATGGTAAAGGTATGAGAGGGAAACGTGCACCTTCAGATAGGAAGGAATAACAACAGAAATTGTAGCTATTTGGGTAAATACAATAGAAGACTATTTTCTTTTCTTAAGTTTTTTGAAGTATGTATGAATGTTAAAGCAAAAAGTGAAACACTGTCTGGTAGGGTTTCCGCTGTATGTAAGTGTAACAYATATGATAACTATACCCTGCCATAGTAGAATAGCATGAAGGAGTAGATAGATAGCTCTGAAACCATGAGCCAAAATAAAGTTTTCCTCCTCTAAGTTGTTACTGTAAGGTATTTTTGTCAGAGTGACRAAAAAACTGACTAACACAGCATCTGAGAGGGAATTAATAAGAAGTCCTACATTTTTACACGAAACAGTGGAATAGTAAGTTGAAGATACGAGATCAATTCTCTAGAAGACATATACTGACATATACTCCACCTCCTACGCTGCCGGTTCTTGTTTATAATTATCAAGAATAACTAGAATATTCTGGGAAGAATATTCTGGGAATATAAAATTCTGAGATAAGGAAGCTGGGGGGGGGGAGTGCTGGTTGGAACAGTGTGGGCTCTCTCCCAGTCCCTTCTAAAAACAAGATGTCCTGATAAGTGAGTTCATATGTCCCCAGGGTATAAAATCCAGGGCTGACTACTTTCTGAGGTCCTGCAGCAGTAAGGCAAGTGAGAAAACTCAAAAGATGATATTCCAGCTGCCCAAGGCAGCTTTCCTGAGCCCTGCGAGGACTAACTAGCCATGAATTCCAAGGCAATCATTATCTTTTTTCTGCTTGTCTTTAAGTAACAAATCTACTTCACATAACTAGTATATAACCAATGAGTGAGCAGGATACAGTCTGACAGAAACATGGTTTATTGGCTAAGTGGGAGGAGCAACATTCCCTCTCATACCTGGCCCAGGTAGAAATGTCAGTCTGGTGGTGCAAGGGATGGTCATGCAGCTGAATGATTTATGAGGAAAGAAGGATACTGAGGGGGACATAAGTTTCTCTCTCTAGCACACGCACATGCACACACACACACACACACACACACACACACACAAGCATGTGTTGCATGGATTGAGACAGAAAAAAAATGGGAATAGATAAGCCCACTCACAATTCCCTGACTATCAGGCACTTATGTGATCTTTCATCCCTGTAAAGCCTGGGTAGTAAATATTTAGATGGACTCTCAGGCATCTGTTATGGTTTGGATATAAAATATCCCCCCAAAGCTCCTACATTAATAAAAGAACATTTAGAGGTGAAAAGATTGGATTGTGAATGGAATAAGCGGGTGGTAACTGTAGCCTGGTGGGCTGTGATTACAGAAGGTGGATCACTGGGGTATGTCCTGGAAGGGTATATCTTCCCCACAGCCCCTTCCCATCCCTCTCTCTCTGCTTCCTGGCCCCAAGAGCAGAGCTGTGCTCCTCTGCCATGCTCTTCTGCCATGAGGCTCTCTGCCTTACCTTGGGCTCAGGGCAAGGGACTTGTCCATGAAGTGGGTCTCTGAAACCATGAGCCAAAATAAGGTTTTCCTCCTCTAAGTTGTTATTGTAAGGTATTTTTGTTACAGTGATGAAAAACTGACTAACACAGCATCTGAAAGGGAATTAATAAGAAGTCCTCCAATGATCCTCAAGACATCTGGGAGGGAGCTAACATGAGCACTGCAACCTGCATAGAAAGGGGCACTCGTGATCTAAAGGACAGATGTAGAAAACAGCCAGGGGAGTCTCATGCAGCCTTGTTGGCATGTCTGCTTAATAAAGGGGCATTGCAGACCCAAGTCTCACACTC